TAGCCCCAGTGTTGGTCTTTGACCATTACAGAATTAACCTTTCTTGCCCGGTGGATCTTTGACATATTTTCAGTGCTGAGAGTCACAACAACACGCATGCACCTTGCTTCCAACACTCAGAAATTTTCACACAAAACCGCAATTATGGGATCTGCATCAGTGTAGGTAATCCAATTTAAACCAAAGTCTGCCTAAAAACTTACTTCACTTGCCAACACTGCAGCGAGATAACACAAAGATTGCAGCCCGATCCCTTTCCCAAGTCAGTATGGGAAAAGCTCGTGTCGGACATCCCAGGCCCATCTGACCAGTACTAGTTGGCTGTTGCTGCACTATTACCTCAATGGGAGGCCAGAAATAGAATTAATTACATTAGCATACAGGATCCGTGACGTAACTCTCTCATTTGCTGTTTTCGGGAGGGAAGGAAACCTGAAATAATTACTCGCTGGCTATAAATTACAATCCGCTTCCTTACAATGAAAAACTTTTCTGAGGCAAAGAACGAAGTCAATGTATTACCCTGAAGCCAAAAGCAAAGCTGACAGCTTAAACAGACTTCTGAAAGAGCTCAAGGATCACTCAACCTGGAAGCAAAGGCTTAGGAAAACCTCCCCGCAGCTCTTCTGCAGCCCCACAGTTACGTGAGACCCAGCAGTACAGAAATTGCCTGAAGACCTGCCTGGAAACCAGACACCTACAACATGAAATACCGCCGGATTAAAGACTTGAAAACCAAAACAAGAACATGGTTGGAGGCAAGACAAACAGTCCAAAAGAAATAACAAAAAATGTGAAGCAGCTTTACCCAACAGCGTGATGCAAAGCATCCAGGGCTTCATGACTCAGAGGAGTGTCAACACTGAGTCCCGTGGCAAAGGCATTCAAAGTTTGTGCCTCAAAACTTCTGGAAAATCATTATATAATGCAAATAAATGGTCTGTAGAATGGGTATGAGATTTTCTACCACTGTTTTCCAGTGGTGCTGTTTCGAACTGTGGGTGCGCACCTCAGAGCCGAGCATGGACAGGACCAAAAGCTTACAGCAAGAGACGGTGTTATATGGAAAGGGACAAAGCCAGGCGTTAGCCACGGCATCCAACTCCCACCACATCTCTCTTGGGTCCCTCCGGTCACAGCACCACTGGCACAGTTACAAACCCACACCCTTGCACCCTCCACCAGGCCACCCCTTCCCATCACATGGGGACGCGGTGGCAGGACCACCTCCTGCTTGCAGCACAGATCCACCACTGCCTTCCCACACAGCTGGGTGGCACAGGAGAGAGACAACAACCACCTCCGGGGCTGAGCGGGCAGGTGCTAATTAGCACATGGGAAAAGGATTGCAATCATGGAGCTGGCAGCACCAGGCACCGGATTGCTCAAGACACAGGGCGGCACCCCTCTGCTCTGGTGACTTCCCAGCACCGTGCTCAGTGGTAAAAGTTGTTAAAGTTACTACGAAAGGGTAATCTATTACGAATTACTCATTAATGCAACTAGGAAATTAGTGACATATTACTGATTATGCCTGTGTCACGCTAGCTCAGCCACAGGACCTGGTTCCCACTGCCAATTTGTCTTGTGCCTATTACAGCCACTTTCCCAACACTTCTCACACACACTGAGCTTCTTTTCCACCTCCTTGCTCAAACAAGTACATGGGCCGTGACTTTTGGGAGCTGTCATGCCTGCTGCAAGAGCCAGAGAGCAAGGTGCTGCCTCCTGAGCTATAACACCTTGCAGCTAAATGCCCAGATGCAAATCTGAGCCCCTTCTGCACTCATGCAAATAAAACATTGCAAGAGCGAGGAAGGCCGGGAGCTGGGCACCCCTCTGCAAGACCAAACCTTGGGGGGTTTCACGTGGAATCCAATGGGAAGGTCTCATCAGGCTGCTCCTGGCAGGAGGTCAGGCCAGCCTCCCGACAGCATCCACATCACCCCAGGATGCAGCTCCGTGCCTTTTATCATCCCAGTCAGATGGTTCCTCTGCAGGGCTCAGGAAAGCCCTGCTCTCCAGCTACGCAATGAGCAACTTCCTCCGCTTTCTTTTTTAGGAGCTGAATATCTTTTCTCTTCCTCCTCCACCTCAAAAGAGCAGATATTAATAATGTGGATCGGAAGAGCTTGCTATCGTGAAGCAATGGGTGGTAGCGGCGCTGCACCTAGTGACATCACGCAGGCTGCCTGGCCAAGTCTTCATCCCGTCAGGGCTATTCAGTAAAACACAGCTAATTATTCCGCCAGATCCTCGGCCAGATGACAAATTGATTCACGGTAGTAACTAAAAGAAGGGAAGGAGGAGAAATTGCACCATTTCCTATGCCTGAAACTACATTACCCGTTGCCCCAAGGAAAACTTTTGACAAAAGTTTTTATTGCAGCTGTTGAACTATACACCAGACAGCTGAAGTGCACTGCCAGGAGACCCCAGTGGTGTGCTACACAAGTTTATATGCAGAGCACAGCTTGCATTTGAGATCCATCAGCATCCAGAGGAGAAAGGTATATTTTTTTCCAAAACATCTGCAGAGTCTTGTGTATAGGGTACCTAAATAATTACCAGAAACTGCTAATTAAAAGTTAACAAAAAGCAAGCACCTGTTTCTCCATGTTGACCTGACGATGCTGAAAACTAAAAGCAATGCAAGGGAGGCTGCTGGAAATGAAAGCTTTTACTCTGTCAGTCAGCTCACAAGGGACACTTTTTCTGAATTCCACCAGAAGTCTATAATTACATCATCACGGCAAGGGCACACAGTATGCCGCTTATTAATCATTTCCAGGAAGAACACTATCAGAAGGCAATTCTTAATAGCACCGCTGCCTGGCAAGGCGCTCTCCCTTGCTCACTGCAGGGTGGGTACTTAAGACTTCCCTCGCGTGAATTTCCTCTTTGAGCAAATTAAGATCTCTGCCAGGAAAAGCCTGCAATGCAAACGCACCTTTTCACACGTTGCTCTGACAAAAGGCTGGGTTCACACAATGCCCTACAGCGATACCAAACTCTCACAAAACCTTTCTTCTCTGCTAGAAGTGACAGACACATCCCATCAGAAAGTGCTAGAGAACTGCTAGAGCTTGTGTTTCCCCCCCTGCTCCCAAGGCACACGAGATACCTTCTCTCTACCAGCCTCTGTCTACTCTACACTTGCTCCTTAAATGAAGTGACCAAGACTTGTCCACCACACACATATAACCAAAGCAGCATTCCCTTTCAGGAACAGAGACAACAGTACAAGGGGAGGAACAGATGGAGAGAAAGCAAGGTGATCGTGGCCACCTGGAACCTACTCCTGCATTTGAGAGGCAAGACCTCCTCCTTCCACTACAGGATGGTGCTGAAAACAGATAAAGAAAACAAAGACAAGCAAGAGGCAAAGTTTGCTGGAAAAGAGAGGAACATGGGTACATGTATGTTATACCATTTACTGAATATTATCATCATGAATCATGATCCAGAAGAAAAATGGAAGCTACAAGACAAATGGGGTGAAATACAATGGACTACACAGAGTCAAGTCCGCAAACGATTGTCAGAGCCCTCCCAGCTACCTTTGGTTCAATGAGTCCTGTGATCTGCTGCTCCATTCCTCCAAGGGCTACTGATGAATTGTGCCAGATTCCGGGTTTCTTTCCAACTGTTCTGAGTCTCCTGCATCTGATCTCAAAGAAGGGAGCAGAAACAGCTGGAAGAGAGAAACCAGAATGGCATAGTCCAGCAGCAACCCTTGGAAGAACAGACAAAAACAGCCTTGTGAGAGGCACCATGGTCCCCCAGCACACACGTTTGTATGTGGACGCATATCCACACGTCTTCTAGGAGAAGAAGCACCTTCCTAGTGCATCAGCTCTACACTGTCACAAAGCACCAGAGCTTCTGACTTAGCTGAACCACCGACAGCTCAACAGCATGGCCACGATCCACAGTCACGGGTGCCAAATGAGTCACACGTGCTAAATGCAGGCCAAGTTTGGCACCACACTTCTCCTCCGGTGGTACTCTTACTCCCCAAGCAGCTCCACCTGCTCTGCAGCACGTGGGCAGCTCTCAGCCCACGCAAGGGAAGGCAGTCAAGGTCTACTCTGTTTAGGCTCTAAAGCTCCTGTGGATCTAGCTTCAGGCCAAAGGAAGAAGGAGAAACAGCAAGTGAAACAGGAGACCAAAGGAGCAAGCTTCTTCAGAGGGAACTTGGGTATTTGCTGCCAAAGGAGAGGATTAGTTGTGAAAATCAGGAAGTCAACGAGGCAGGGAGCAGCGGGAGGCCACTGCAGATAATAGGGACAGTAGGAGCAAGGCTATTGCTCACCAAGGCACGTGAAGGGGAGATGAAAAGGCTTGTGCTCTTTCATATGTGCAAAGACTAGAAAGAGGGAGCGAAGAGGTCAGGAGACAGTGCTGGTGGAGGAAGGGCCATAAGGAGAAAAAGAGCCTTTGAAAGTGAACCATGGAAAAGTGATTAATAAGGGCAGAACTGCCAGGGTTGGTGTCAGTACCTTCTCATTTCCACTAGAAAGAAACAAGACGTTGCAGCTTGTGCTAAGATCTGGGGAGGGAGGACCAGGGGCACAGCGAGACCAAGACAGAAGGATGTCATTAAAAGGACAGAAACAGAATTTCAGACAGAGAGCAAATCAGATTAGGATGGTTAGGAATTACGTGGAGGTGGGGACAGAAAGCAAGTTTAAAGGCTCATGGGATATTTATAGTGAGACAGCCCAGATGATCTCCTGCCAGGAGGGATGAAATGGAAACCATAACATTTTTCCTGACCACAACTTCCTTGTAACTGATTACTAGAAAGCACAGGCGCATCACGTCTCTCCAGGACAGCAGTACCACTGCGAGCCTCTTCCTAACACACACCGTACCACTTCTAAAAGGATCCTCGACTTCACATCCTTTCTGCCCTACACCAACCTGGCGACTTTTTACTGCAAATTAGCTCCCTTTTACAAGGGCCAAGTCATTAAGAGCAGAAACAAAACGAGTACCTGGAGTATCACAGGTCCGCCTGTCCCTTGAAGAGTTGGTTGGAGGCGTCCGCTGTCGGTAGACTAGGTGTGGTTTTTTGTGCTCTTCCTCATATTCCTGTTCAAGCGATAGCAGCGGCTCGACAAAATAGTCCCCATCATCAGACTTGAACGTGCCTAGCTGAGAGGGACCAGAGAAGGGCAGGCAGTCAGCTTTGGGCAGTGATGAGCCCCAGAGCAGGACTACCCAAAGCAAGCACGAAAGGAGGGTCTGCAGCAATCCCATGAAGACACGGCTGGAGCTCCAGCTCCCACCACATGGATCACACCCCCACCAGGCTGCACTGCTTCCTGCAGCTGTCCCGATGAAACTTATGGAAAGCAAGCTACTAATTTGTAGGAGGGAGCGTGGCAGAGGGATGCCTGCCAGATCGCATGCCAGTGACCATGCCACTCCTGCCCAAGGGGACACGGTGCTGCAGGGCACGTCAGCACAGCCCCACCACATTGTGCTGATTTTCATAAAGCAGCTCTCCCTGAAACAGGCTTTCAATTCACCCATGAGGATCCAAGGGAGGTATCCAGCCAGTGTAGCCCCTGCTTGTGAAAAGACACCAATGCTCCTAGTTGCACCTAAGTACGAATACGATTTGGTGGGTTTAAAAAAAAAAAAAAAAAGGGAAAGAAAAAGAAAAGTACAGCCAGGACAAAAAGCCATCCTAGGCTGGGAAGCAGGCCTGGCATCTGGGATGTGCTGCTGGGAGGAAGGCCTGCCCAGCCACACACGTGTGCTAGCTTGGCTCAGCCCCCAGCCTGCCCCGTGGGGCAGCACTGCTGCACCAGGATGGATCCTAGGGGTGAAGGGCTGCGTGGGCTCGTGCACCCAGAATAACCCCTGGTCCAGGCAGGGGCCAGCAGGGACCTCCCAGAGGGGCACCTGGGACAAGCACATCCCTTCCTGTGCATCACTGGTACCCTGGGGTGCAAGGATGCTGGGGGGGTCAGGGAGCAGCACTGCTGGGGAGCTTCTGCCCATCCTTCTGCCAACATCCCCAGGTGCTGAAGGACACCAGGACAGGCTGCAAGGAAGCCTGTGTTCCCCTCTCCTCGGGTCATGCCCTTGTCCTGAGCTGCAGGAAGGCTTTGGGGTCAGCACTACCGGCTCCCCCAGCCACCCCTTCCCAGACCCCAGCAGCACCCCGTGCAGCAGGACGGGGCCCTCCCCACTCTCCCTACACCCGGCCATCACCTCCCTCCCTCGCGGGGTGCCGCTGGGGGGCACTTTTGCCCCAAAACCCGCAACCCGCGGAGCTGGCCGTCCTCACCCCATCCCCTGACCCCGACGGGCTACAAAAAAAAAAAAAAACGGGACCGGGCGAAACCCCAGCGCGGGGCGAGCGAGCTGCCCCCATCCCGCAGCCCCAGCCGGGGGCGGGGGCAAGGGGCCGGCCCCAGCCTTTCCTAAACCACCCTCCCTCCCCCTGCTCCTCCTCCTCCTCCTCCTCGCTTCCGCCGCGGCGGGGCCGTGCAGGGGCTTCTCTTACCATCCCGGAGCAGAGGCTGATGACGGCGGTGTGGCGGGGCCGGGAGTTGACGTGCCCCCGGTAGAAGCAGTGCTTCACGTCGGTGTCCGCCGCCTCGGCGTACAGGCGCCGCTGCTCGGCGGAGGGCTCGCCCAGGAGGCTGACGGTGAAGAGGGGGGCGATGAAGGCCGAGCTGGCCGTCAGGTTGAAGAGGAACTGCTGCCCGAAGGCGGAGAGCCTGTAGTGAGCCTTAGAGGAGGATGAGGAGGAGGAGGAGGAGGAAGCAGCAGCCGCCGTCCAGGCGTCGGGGGCAGCGCCGGCGCTCCGCCGCCTCCTCCTGAAGTGGACATCGGTGGGGAAGGGCTCGCCGAACTCGTCCACGCGGGTAGGGGTCACGATGTCGTACTCGCTCAGCTTCTCCAGCAGCTTGGCTGCAAGGCAACGGAGGCACAGACCCCTGAGCGCCTCGCCCCCCAGCCCCCGGGGCCGGCAGCCCAGCATCCCAGCATCCCACCCCGTGCCCTCCCAGCCCCAAATCCCCGCTGCCCCGTACCTTGCCTGGGGTGCAGCTTCTGCCTCCTCGCTGCCGTCCTCAAGCCGTCGATGAAGAGCGTGCTGAGTGCCAGCGCCAGCGGCGCAAGATGCATGGTGCTGAGCGCTGTCCTCAAGAGGAGCGCAGCCTTCCCCCTGCGGCGGTCGGGCTCTTCTCGTCCTCTTTTTTTTTTTCCTCTCCCTTAGTTTATTTTTTATTTTTTTTTTTTTTCTTGCCCCCCCCCCACCGCCGCCCCCCGGTGCGCTGCCGGAGCCGGGCGGCGTTAGGGGCGGGCGGGCCGGCGGGGCGCGGGGCTTTTGGGGCCGCGCATGGGGCCGGGACCGCCGGGCCGGGCCGGGGGAACCGGCCGCCTGCCTGCCTGCTGCTTCTCCCTCCCTCCCTCCCTTCCTTTCCTCCTCTCCCCCCGTCGGGCTGGTGGACGGGGCGCTCCCGGGAGCCAATTTAAGGGGGCGGGCTCCATAGATCAAGCAAGGAGAAAAGAGCCCGCCCTGGACAGCCCTTCCTCCTCCCACCCCCACGCCCCCTTCTTTTCCCCTCTCCAACATGTCACTTTCTTTCATTCCCGAGGAACGCTGGAATCGCAGGGTTTCGCCGAGAAAAGCCCTCACCGCGGCTCCGAGCCTGGACGGGGCGGGCGGGGGGCTCGGGGGGCAGGGAGAACCTCATCGCCCCCCCCCCCCCCGGGAGCTAAGAGGGCTTTTCTTACCCAACTTGGCCTTTTTCTTTCTTTTTTTAAGACAGCTCGAAGAAGCGGACACGGAGAAGCCCACGTGTGGCACTTTTTATAGCATTCGGTGTCTCCTGCGTTTCACAGATACGAAGCACTTGAAGCAACTTGGGGCAGGGTTATTTTTACGCTGGGCAGTTTTCAGCACCCTGTGGGAAAAGAGAGATTATTTCCTTATCTGAGGCGGTTGGTGTCTTGTTTTACAATTTGGAAAATTTCCATAAAAAATTAAGACATCCTTTAGAGCTAAGTGCCACTCAACATTGTTTTCTGCCCTTTGTCAAACCTGTTTAGTTTTTTTCCCCTTGATGGGGAAGGATGCTACGAAACTTAAAGCCTATAGCAAGGCAAAAGAAAAGAGATGGTTGAGAGCTTGACTTGCTCTTCCACAGAAAATGTCAGTTTTTTTTTTTTCTTTTTTTTTTTTTTTTTTTTTACTTCACTCAGTTCTGGGACAAAGAGCAGCAACACCAGTACTTCCTGCAGAAAGGGAATTTACTTTAAGATAATAAGTTCAGAATTCACTTCTAGACAAAACAGCACCTCCTGGCTCTTCTAAACTAACTGCTGAAGCCCTACAAATCCCAAACATTAGTGGTAAATTATTTATTCTATACAATGAATGCAGAAGCCCATGTAAGCAGATCATCACCCACAAAGCCATCGTCTGTAGCTGCTGGACGAGGAGGGCTCCTTGGCAGCCCCACAACTGAGCACAGTACAGGATCTCCACATTGGTGGAGACCCACATGAGCACATCCCAAGCACCCTATAATGGCACATAACCTCCCAATATGCCTCCGTTATGCCTCTACTTATAAACCATGTTTAATTTAAGTCTAGGCTGCTTATAAGGTAACTCACCCATGTGCCTTCTGGTGCTCAGCAGAGCCTGACTGCTTCCAGACATGAGTTGCCTCGTGTGCGGTCAGCTCTGATGGTGCTGGGTCTCACTGCATCCACCTTTAGGATTGATGAGGGGACAGCTGTGGCTGCATGATGGTCACAGCCTCTAGGGAGCAGAGGTGTCTGCCACGGGTATGGAGGAATGGGGAAGTGCCTCTCCTGGTAGGTGTCACCTGCAGCCAGGAGCAGCTCTTCAGGATAACCAAGCATGGGTGGATCTTCAACACTCACCAGCTCGTGAACAAACCTGCACCAGGTTTGCTTTCAGTGCTGCAAAGGGCCTGCACAGTCACATCTTCCTGTCCCAGCAGCCAACTGCTCACACACACACGTTAAGAAATCTGCAGAATAGAAAGACACCAAATTATCCTAAAACAGCTTCCATCTGCAAAGCCTGCTGGGGCTACCGTGCAAACCCTGGCTAGCGTGGCCTCTCCTGGCTCATCATGAAAGTGTGGCATCCCCACCCTTCCCATGCTGAGCAGTGTTCTGATCACGTCTGAAAAGCCAACGAGGTACTTGGGCTGCTGGAAGAACAAAAAGGGGAATTTTGAAACATCACCACATAGCAATGAGGCTTTCCTCTAGGCTAGTCCTCTTGGCTTTCTCTGCCTCATCATCAAATAAATGACTTAACACGTTGCAGTATCTGCTCCCTGAGCTGTTGTGCTGGTCTGCTGGGAGCACACCACGTGTGACCGAACCCCTGATGGTGTTCCACCACCTTCTCACCATTTCTACACATGCCCCAAAACTTGCAGGCTTCACATGCGGAGGGATGTGGTGTGATTGAGCATGGGTGATGGCCCCGGTTGTGACGGGCAGGGGGAGGCCGTATCCTGCACTCAGGTGGGCACAGACACGTACAGGGAGCATTGAGCAACACCAGGCTGCTGCCGGTCAGCGAAGAAGTCAGCAGGAGCAGGACAAGCAGTGGAGTTGCCTGAGGAAAGAGTGAAAAGCCGAGCATAGCACGGGAGCTGAGTCAGAGGGGAGGGGAAGAGGCTTACGTGGAGCTCATCCTGCAGTGTCCTGGGTGAGGGATGCAGTCCTAACTCACTTCCTCGCCCTCCCATCAGGAGGGTGTTGGGAAATGGTCTGCTGTTTTATCAGAGTGCCCCAAGGGTAAGGGATTTCACAAGCACCCCGCATCCCACTGGTCCCAGCCTTGCCTGCCCCTTGCACCAGGTTGGGCATTGGCAAGAGCTGGTGCAAAAAAATCTATCAAAGCTTTACTTCCTTGCGTAGTTTTCTACCAGATAATCAGCAAATTTAGCTCGGGGGTTGGGGTCAAGCTGCTCAGGAGCTGGCATGGGGTGATGTGGCCGCACGTACCTGTGCCTTGTGGGGGTCGGATGCCTCCTTTTGGTGCTGGCAAGCTGGATGGAGCCAGGCTGGTGCATTAAGAAGCATCCCCATGGGTTCTGTCTGACCTGAAACCTCAGCACCTGCAATCCAGGAGAACAGGACCAAAATGAAACTTTCCTTCTTCAGAAGTGGGGAGCTGCCCCATGGAGTGACCACAATTAGGTCTCGCTTCTGGGGCAGAGCTGGGGAGTGCACTGAAGTGTCCCTGGGACCAAATTCAGGCTTCGTGATGGCACTAAATGGTCTGTCCTCCCAGGAGCACGGCATTGCCTACATACAACGTTGTTTCCATTGACAGGCAGAAAAGTTGCATGTTGTGCAGCGTTCTGAATCTTTACAGCTGGAGATTAGAAAGCGTAGAAGGAAAGCTGTAGTGTAAGTAAATAGATGATGTGGAGTTTAGAGGAACTAAGCTACAAACTTAAATAACTTTCCTATTAGGAAGGATCTATTAATACTTACAGTATGGTAATTGTGCAGGCTCCAAAGTCCTCAGCCAGTCAAAAAGTAACCCCTCAGAGCCCATACCTACTCGGGGAAAAATCCCCTTGAAACACTGAGGATTTTGCCTTTATAAATACTGCAAAAGTCGAGCTGCAAACGCCTCTCCTATAAACTACGAAATGAGAACTCGATCCCAGCAGCAAAACTTCAGTAGGAGAATTCAGGCGATACACGCTGCTGCAAGAACATGCTGGAGGAGACCAAACCTCCTGCTTTGCGCTGCATTTCACCCTCCTCACCATTTCCTTTTCCTCGTAGGTGAGCACAGTTCCCAGACATTGATCTTTGTTTTTTGCCGCTCTGCCTCTCTGGGTAAGCAGCATCTTCCTTTATCTGCTGCATCCATTCGCTTGCCCAACAATTATCCCGGGAGGCAGACAGTTTCTCTTTGATAGCTTCTCTTCAATGGCAGCAGATAACTGAAGAGAGCAAACATTTTCTCCTGGTGTCTAATCTGCATGGTCAGAAAGTGAAAGATTTCATTCCCTTCAAACAGCTGCTCACTGCCCGGACCTCAGCCTCGCTTGCTTGCACTGCCAGCAAAGATACTGCTCTGTGCTGCTTTTCTCACAGATTTGGAAGATGTTCTGCTCACATAAAGGGTTCTCTTTAAAGGACATTTTCAGCAAACATGTCAATGCTTTTTGTTTTGTTTTAATATTTTCCCATTTATTTAGAGGGACTGAGACTTACAGGTTCACCATACAGTTAACGTTCAAACTTATTTTCAGTGCCAAGCCAACTCTTTCTATCCTGATTAAAAGGATTTAAATATACTGAGTAATTCATCTACAGTAGCTGCTTCAGCTCCTGCTTTCTCTGTTGGGCTCTGTGTTCTCACCCTGAGCCATGCCCTGTGCAGCACGCTGCTGCCGTTGAGGTCTGAGCCATTTGGTGGGTTTGGGGTTTGCTCCTCAGACCTCAGAGTGCTGGATGGTGGTACCTCCAAATTCAGCTCAGTCCCGTCCTGGTGCCCTGAATACTGCAATGTGCACATTGAGGAGACTCGTCCAAGGTCACACAGGCAAATAAGACCCAGATGTCCTCCAGCCTGGGCTGGGGTCAGTGGGTGCAAGTCTGGCGCCTTCCCACCCAGCACGCTGCGTGTCTGGGGGAGAAAAGCTGCGAGCAATGGGAACACAAGGAGAGCTGTCCTTGTGTCCCTGCTCCTTCTCTGGGCTGGGAACCAAGGCTTGAGAACAGAAGGTGAAGGAGGGAGAGAAAACAAGTGTCACAAAGTGCTCTGTGAGGAAGCACGCCTCTCGGTTTATGATTTGGAACAACGTTGACCCTGAAAACTCATTAGGAACTAGGGACTGCACGGGAGGAACAGTAAAGCCCACACGGACACTGCAAATGTGTGGGATTTTTGGTTTCAGATCAGCATGGATGGACGTCATGATCCCTTGAGGCTTTCTGACTGAAACTGCTGGTTCCAGCTCGCCCCTCCCTGGCTCCCAGCGCTGCTGCTGACCGCTCGCACACTGCGCCCTGTGCTTGCACCTCTTATCTGCAGCGGGGGACACGCATGCCCAGAGCAGCCCAGCTCCTGGGTCCCACTGCTGACTTGCACTTACAGCCCTCATCCCCTACCCTCGTTACTGCAGGCAGCAATCTGGGGCAGGTCCCAAAGTAGCTGGGAAACACTTAGCACTGCATCTGCCCGGTTTTGTGCAAATGAAGCCATCGAGTGAAACATTACAGTGGTTTATCCTTTGCGTTTGACACGCCATAAATCAAACAGGACCTGAGTGCACTCCTTTTGACTTTTGATATTGCAGACATGTGCATCTGCGCTAAGTTCCAGGTGCCTTTGCCAAAACATTAGCAGTAATGCTGGGAGGACCAAGCAGAGCAGATGTTCTGTAACCCCACACCAAAAGGCAACCTGGGAACATTGCAAGTCCTGCAGGTACAAAAAGTTTTGCCCTTTGAGCCACGTATTTACATTCATATAAACTAATTATCACAACAGCTCTGCAAGGTATCACCGTCACCTTATGAAGAGGAGCCTGAGATGGTCGATCTGGCACAGGACACGGAGCCCTGACCCCGTGATTATTTCTACCCTCCCACACCAGCCTGCACAGAACGTAAGAGCACAGCTTAATATTTCAGTGCAGGCATCGTTAAACTGTAAAACTCTATTTTAGGAGGGTTGTTTTCATTCTTTCCCTACATAGTAGATTGTCTCCAGAGATAATAAGATACGAACCTCTAATAGAGTAGGGAAAAAGCTAAACAGCTTTACAGATACCAAGCTCTTTTTCCCTGAGGGTGTCACAAGGTAGCCAGCTACAAGCAAAGACACCTCCCTGGGGGAAGCGTTGGCGACATCGTATTTGTATAGTGGTAGGAGCTGTGTACTGGTTATACAACCACCAGAAGATCATCAATAGCTAAAAAGCATTAATGTTAATGGTCATGTTAAATGTCTGCTGTCAGGTGCCCACAGCCTTGGTTTTGTTACCTGACTTTACTGTCAACCTCTACTTGGGGTAACAAAATTCCTGCTTCCCAGTAGGAATTCAGTGTTTCTTAAACGATGGGGTTCAAGAGATGTTAAGGAACAGGCTCAGAATTTGTGGGACGCAACCAAAGGAGAGCAATTTCTGGCTGATCTGCAAAGCTAAAACAGTTGTCCTCTCCTGTTTCCACCAGCCATTTCTGCTCCATGCCTTCCTGCCTTCTCACTCACTAAATACCTTTCCTGATGGCAAAGGCTGTGTAGGACTGAACCTGGAATCCCCACGTTCCCCTCGCAGGTGTGGGGAGAGCTATGCGAATGATGTGAATTGGCTGCAGCCTTCCTAACCACATTCATGTCGTGCCACTCAGCCTGGGCTGCCGTAGAGCGAATTAATGGAGTGTAAATCCCTGTTTGGAAGTGCACTGCCTCTCCTGCTTCTCCCTGTAACTCCTTCACTCCCTTTGCAAACCACAGGAGAATGAGAACTCCCTGGGGAACCCCGGCTGGACATCTTGCATCATGATAGAGAGAAGTGGAGTATCTACGCAGCCAAAGCTGCCTGGCTGACAGTTTCAGAGCTCGCTGTGACACTTCCAAGAGAATCCGTAGTGCTGGGACTAAAGCCTGCTAGAAACAATCTTCTTTTAAAGTTACTGTATGGCTTGGCTACAAAGATAAGGCACCAGATGGCTTGGGAAGAATTTTTAGGAGACAGTTGTGCTGGTATGCCTGGAAGGATCTCGAGAGTTTACATTTACAATAGAGTACTTCTTTGGAGGCGAATGTTTGTCAGGATCGTCAGTTTTAATTACCCAAAATGCAGGCTGCTTCTAAATGCAGCCAGTCAAGAGGAGGATTTCTTCTTTATATGACTTTTTCTTTTTTTTTTTTCGCTCCTGAAGAATATCTGCCTTTAACTTTATAGGTAGCAGACTGATTCACGGAGACTAATGTTGAGCAGTTTTCATGCTAAATGGTATCCTGCAACATTTTCTTTCACTGATGAATTATACATTGCAGAAAAAGGGACTGCATTTTATCTGTTTTCAACCAACTGAATAAGGTGCCAATTGTGTCAGATGTAAGCACACACAAACATAGATCAGTCCCCAAATTCCCCAGGCCTTTAAACCAAGGTCCTTTTGGTCAGAGGAAGGATGACCTGGTAGGATCGCTCTCCGTGAGGATGCCAGGAGAAATGAGCACCATTCTGTTTGGGCCTTGCACGCCTGCAGATACAGCAGCATGACTGAGGAGTTAATTTCCTGTCCTACCATCCAGGAGCACTGGGATACACATGCCATATTTTTCAGGCCTCTCTGCTTTCTGTATACACTAGAATATAAATAACATTACTGAATGCCGGTGATGGGAATCAGGCTCGAGTTTTAAGCCAGCTGTTTCCACGTTTTCTCCCTGTGTTTTATCAGCTCAATTCTCAGATACGTCTAACGTTTCCATCCAGAATTTTTAAAGGGAGGAAGCATGACTTAGAAATCACTGTTACGTGAATGGCTCTGTTGACTTAACTGACGTTGTTTTGACATGCCAGGGCCTACCGAGGGACCAAGACCCCTTTGTGCTAACTGCAGTACAAACACAGGCCTGAAAACGAAGCCGGTATCGAAGTTCCCCTGCCTTATCACACTCGGTTAATGCATTACTCCATGCTAGCTAGCCAGCTGAGAGTGGCATTTGTTACAGGGGGAGGGCTAGCTTGGACATAGCGACACCATTGTTTCTCTGCACTGTTTTCATAGCAGGTTCCCTGCCCACGGCCCTTTGTAACTGAAAGCCCATATTCAGAACAGATAATTGTCCAAATCTGAGCCATTTCGCCTACCAACAAGGTGGGCTTTTGTGTTCATACAACTCCAAGGCAGGGAGATACTAGTCCCTGGCCGAGAGCCCTAGTCCCATCATAGCTTGTGAGCCAGGCTGGCATCTCTCAGCACCCACAGGTGAGGCAAACACCACAAGAGCCAAAAGGGCATCCTCGAGCAAGCAGCGGTACTGGGTTCATGAACACAAACTCATGCTTATCTTGTGTGGTTCTGCGAATCAACTAACTCCTCAGAACAGGGAGGACATAGTTTTGTAGCCCTAGCCAGGTACGTATAAAACCATCTGGTTAGAGCAGCATCATCTAATTGATCACATGAAATTTGTCTGAGCACTGCAGTGGATGGAAAACAGGGGCAGGAATCAGCAGTTTTCAAGACCTGACATGCTTCTACCAAGAACTTCAGGAAGGACCTGGATTCACCACCTCTCTGCTGCTTTGGCAGCTTCATGGGAGCACGGACCAAGAACTGTCCCCGTGTCCCTTCTCCCCTACAATCCACTGCACAACACAAGGAACAAAAGAGGAGCTTCTGCATTGCTTAAACACACAAAACCTGCTGTCTTGTTAGGAGCCATCTCATGCCAACTCCAGGGCATGCCAGTGGTGACCACACGACAGCAACAGCATAAGAAGGTGGTGAGCTTACAGCAGTGCCTCACCTGAGCACCAGTCCATCTTCCAGGGATGCGCCGCTGGGTGATCCATGCCAGAAGTGACATCTTTGTGTTCTTCTGCTGAGCTGCTCCAAGAAAAGAGGTATCTGAGTCCTGCCTGGGGAGATGCACACACCACTGTAACTCTCACCAGTTTGCAAATACAAAGTTCCTGTTGAAAAGCTCAGCCTTACACTCCCCTACTGTCCGATGTTGATAACAAATGTGATAGCTTAGCACCAAGCACCCAGAGCAGACATAGCCAGGGAAGTCTCAGAGTAACAAAAAATCCCATAGTGGCAACGGCTATTGTGTACAGCCAGACTAGGATTGCTACTGGCTGTGAGCTTTTAGTGAAAAGGGCTGTGAGGATTTTGGTGAACAGAGCTACAATTACAGTTCTCAAGGACAGAAATCCCTTTCACTTTTCTGCCCCATCCCCTGAGTCTCTGTGGATACCCTGCCCTCTCCTTGCATCCTTCCTTCAGGCCATGTGTCATCTGCCCAGGTCACCAGTGAGTCAGGTTCCTGCACACAGAAACCAGCTCACCTTACTGATGGCTTTTTCTTCCTGCATTCACTGAAACCTACACAAGTAGATTGTTCTTACTTGGCAAAACCTTAGATATGTTGAAACCAATTTATTTGACCCAGCAAAGAGCTACCAGGAAAAAAGACATTAGGGTGTGATACAGTGACTGGGATCTCAGTTACCAATGTCAGTTACCAAATATGTTTTCTTCTGAAATGCTTTAGAAGCTTGCAGTTCCCTAACCAAGCCCTTCAGCAAAAGGTCACATTTTTTTTTTCTCAATCTTGGTTTAAAAAAAATGCACAAAAGCAAACAGCCTTACACTGCTGCTGAAGGTGTCTGGAGTACCCTGCAAGCATGGGTTCAACCTCATCCTGCCATCGTGCCACAGCAATGAGCCCCCTGGCCCTGGGGGATGTATGAATGGCACGGCACTTGGGAAAATTCACACAGAAGATTTTGCAAGCTCATTCGCTGGACGAAACTTTGCCCTAGAGACTCGAGCCTCCTACAACTGTGAGAAAGGAGGTCCTTTTTAGTTTATAGCTAAGGTCAGTGGAGGGCCAGAGCAAGGAAGTTTGTATTGCAGCAATTTGTACCTTATCTTGTTTATAGATGTAAACAGAAGGTTTACGCTTCCGTTACTGGACTCTCCTACACCAAAAATATTCAGTGCACAGAGGAGGGGAAGGATAGGCAATGTGCACACACATTTCTTGAGCATATTTTGAGAAGCACAGTTAAAGTATCTGGTGTTTCTGAAGCATGTGGGAAGTAGGATGCCCTTGCAGTGACTGAAAAAAAATTATTAAAATCACAACCAGCCCTGCCTCCCCCTTCTGAATAAAAAACCAAACACCAAAAACCCCCAAACCAACCACAACCGACCACAAAACCCCAGCAATCTCCTTGTGGACTGCAGGGGTCATTCCAGGATCTCCATAGGGTCTGGATGTAACTCAAGTCTCATATGGACTTGGGTCAACTTCCATTGAAGCCAGGAGTGCTTTCATGAGCTTTAGGTCACTCCCAGTTGCTTCTGAAGTCATTGCCCAGGCTTTTCTCATTTTAGTCACAGTACCAAAGTTTTGTACCGTTTGAAAAGCTCCAAAGCAAGGGACATATGGAGCCTACAAAAGCATAGTTATTGTGCTAGCTAGCTCCAGTCCCATGCCAAGCAAATTATTCATGCGTACTCTGTGGATAGAAGGCACAAGCTTTCATGTGGTTACATGGATAAAAAGGGAGGAGAATTTGGGCCACTGACTCAGCCTGTCAGCAATGTTTCCCCCCTAAATACAGCCATGGAGCTGCAAAGCAGATTTCTCACAGCACTGACGGTGGGGTAGTACTCTCTTTGGAAAATGTGACCCCTTACTTACATGCCACTTGGAAATCGGTATCATGTAAGGGTGCCAAATGCTTCCCAAAGTAAGGCCTTTTGATTATAACCTTTCATGAAAGTGACTGATTGAACAAAAGCAGCTTAGAGATAGCATTTCAAACAAGAATCAGACAGCTTGTCTGGAACATAAGCAGTAGCAAACTGCCCAGCCTGTTAGAAGAATGGCCGTGCTATACGATGCTGCACTCCTGCATCCAAAAGGAAACCTGACATTCAACAGGTGTTCCGCTTCTTGGGTAGTCTCATGGATGGAGAGGGAGTTTGAGGAGACACGTTACAAAAAGGTCCTTTAAACGTACCTACTTTTCTATTTCAGGCTCCATGACCAATTTTTTTTTCCCCCCACTGTCAGTGGATTTTATTCAATTACCATTGCAGTGGGCACTGCAGAGTACGGGGTACATTCCTACTTCAGTTGTCTTTGTATCCACTTGGCAGGAATCCTGAACAGCCAGAAAAGCAGACAGTTACTATTTTCCACCATTTTTACATTCCCTGTAGAAATATTTCTTATTTGGCCTCACCACACTGACCAAAAAAACACAAAACAACAAAACTAACCCACAAGCAACAACAACAAAAAAAAACACCCTTATGGTCTTTTCATAAAGGAATTAAATTCACTCTATTATTCTAGTTAGTGGAAATAGAAAAGCCAATCAGGTGACTGTAGTGGTAAAATAAAGCCAAAAGTAGTTCATTTCAATCTTTGTTCTGTAATACTTACATAATTCAGACCTGGAGACAAAAGCACTAAGGTCATGGATTAACTGTGGCTTAAAGTTGAAAATAGCCTGAGGAAGTAAGGATGACAAAATAATTACTAGTGGGCAAATCATATGTTAATGGGTATGAGAATGATTTAGTGTATGACATTTAATCAATGTAAATGGAAATGTAGTCCTAAAGCAAATTTAACTTTTAAGTCCTCCATGGATATGTGTGTATATATATATATATATAGCTAGTTTCTATAGCTGAAATAAATCTACAAAAAATTTAAATCAAAGTTTCCATATGTTGAAATAACTCATTTTGTCGTAATCATAACAGCTGTTGAAATAGAGATAGTGCTCATGAATAATGCTTTAAATATTTGCTTTGCTCCATGATGTAGAAGACTAAAGCCTGCACCATTCAACTGAGGCACCAAACAATAGAAAAACACACTATGCAGAAACCCATTCCAAAACACCTGTCAGGAACTGCACTTTTCTAGATAAAACATCATAGTTCAGAGGTAAATCATTTTGGCAATTCACTTTGATATAGCATTTGAGGTAAATCACATCAAAGCCTTCCTGTGAATACCCAAACAAATTAGTTAAAGTCTATAATAAAAGCTCTGGCAGGGTCCATATGCACCAGTGCTGGAGGTCACGAGACACCTAGTAATGCTGCATTAGGATCCCCTACTGCAAGCAGTACAGCTGGTACAGTAATAATTACTGTGCCAAACATAATTGTGGAGATTGCAAGAGTGCAAAATGCAGGAAAATTAGAAAAGGAATGCTGTGATGAGAATGCCATGCAGTTGTTCCCACTACACACGGGGAGAAAATTAGATTTCCGAATAGAGGCTGAATATTCATTTGCCAGATTAACAGCTCCTGCCTGCACTGAAATCAGCCCTGAGAGCCCATGGGATGTTCAGAGCTGGGAACAGCTGAACACACCCAAGAAGAGCAACCATTATTTTTCTAGTGCTTCTGCAGTTAAAGACATTACACCTGGACATGTTTTTGTTGGGTGGAAAAGCACACATCAGTAAAAATGTTCGTGAACTACGACTGTAACTGAACAGACCACCTCCAGCTGCCTCTTGCTCAGGACAATTCCTCAAAGGCAAGGGCCTACTCTTCGTGTTTGGCACCTACTCTTAGAAATTCATCTTGCCCTGAATTCTTAGCTCAGAGCAGAGAGTTTACAGAGAGCTTTTGGTTCTTTGTAGCAGCGTCAGCAATAGAAGAAATAAAACCACTGTTTTGGGATAATGCACCTTCTTTTATACAAATGTTTCATCTTGAACTCTTAAGTAGGCAATAAAATGATAATCAGTCATATAAGTCTTTTTTGTTTAGGTTCACAGCGTACCAGCTTACCACATACATTCCCCACATTCAGAACACCTAGAAACCTCTATTTATCAGTGACCCATACCAAAGTACGTGTGCCATTTGCTTCAGAGATCATCTATTCTGAAGAAGGCTGCTAGCCAGACCCTGTGAATAAGGTGCAATTGATTATTAAAAAATAATTGAAAAAAAAGTAAATTCAGAAGTGAACTTTTGCACACTGTTATACAAAACCATGCTTTCTTCATTCAGATATAGGGCAGGACCTTATGGAAATACCCACTGAGACCTTCCCTGCTGCCTGCCTTTGGATGCCAACACTGGGAAGCGGACGAGACATTGCGCAGCGTGCTTGTACACACAGCACAATGTCTCAGGCTTTTCCAGGGTGTTTTACCTGTCCTTCAATTGCCCCTTACAGAAGCAAAAAGACTGTTAAATATCCGCAGTACAACATAAAGACTGCTTAGCAGGCTGCTTCTGATTCCGTGTGTCCTAGGAGCCACATAATCCCATTGAGTGTTTTAGCTGTTCCATAAACAAATCAGTAGCTCTGTACTCTTCCTTCTCCAGTGACAGCAGATATTAATGCCTTGAGCATGCTGCACTCAGCCAAAGCAAGCATTGAAAGTGTTAACTCAAAGGCAGGATAATGTCCTATTTGGTTAAAGCAAAAAGTAAATAAATACAGGATTTACTGCAATTTAAGGCTTAAAATGAGATCAGATGCCTGTCATCTCCAAACACCTCTCAATCAGCAAAAAATAATCCTTCACAAAATAGATTGTTATTTTTGCTGCAAGTTTTTTTCATGGAGAAAATGGAGCCATATATTATTCCTCTGTAGGCTGCAAGTAGGCGAAGCATAAACTCAGCTGAAAACTTATCCAGGGCTTCTGGCAAGTGCAGGCCAGAAGTGTGTGATTTGTGCTGCTTACCAGATCTCTGCAGTTCATGAATCCCAGATGATGTGCGGGGGGAATCTCTTTAAATGGACGTAGGAAGCTAAAACTGTCAGCAGCTAATGAAGAGGGCAGGGAAACGAAAATGGAGCAAAAGGGAGAGTGGGTCCGGCGCTCTGCCCCAGCCACGCACAACGGAGAGCTTGCTCACGTTGATGGGAATTACTGCCTTTGAGCCACCTGACTACAGGGTTAATTTTCTTCCCCTCTTCATTTCAGATGAGAGGAGTCAACCTGACCTTTACTGTCAGATCTAAGAGAAGCCTTGAAAACGAGAACAGTGAAGCAGTCCAAATGCAAACACTGGCTACAGTAGACCTATTTATAAATAGTTTAGAAGAACACCATGAACTGCAGAAGGAGGGGAATTTTCTCCACCTCCCCCCCCCCAAGTTTGCTGCCTCGGTGAACATAGCGGCATGCTTGAATTTGCTTTCTTACATACCAGGAGGCCTGCAGCAGAAAATGAAGTTAAAGCCACAGGCACAGCCCCTGATTCAGCTGTGTGGCACCAGCTCCAGCTTCACTGTGGCGCACGAAGCTGCACAGCAAGCCCCTTGTCCCAAGTGCCCCCTCCAGCACAGCCCTCCAGCCGGTGCTGGCCATCCTCCCTGATGGGAACGGCCAGACAGGGCTGCCCAGGGGAAAGTCCTGACCCAGGTCAGCCAGCAGGGAGGAGATCTGCCTCGAAGGAGAGCCTCCCAGGCTGCCTCCAGCCTTCCCTTCCAGCTCTCTCCAACCTAAAATGTTTCTCTTTATAGGGATCGTGAAGAACAAACAAGTAAGCCCCTCAATTTAGCTGTGTGCCCTAGCAAAATGAAAAATCTGAAAAGTGGAAAAATAGCCCAAAATAGCCAGCGCAATCCCTTACAGATTCTCGTACCAGTTCAGATTTATCATAGCTTGAAACACAGCTCTTGCTCGCGCTTCTGACTGGCACACTTTTGCAGGGCTGCTACTTTTACTTGAACCTTGGCCCTACTCGGGCTGTCTGACCAGATGGCTAACCCTTGCTTTAAAGGATGTCATAAGTAAAAGCAAATGCTGACCTTGCGAAGCTTTCTTCTTTGTACTTTTTTTTTTTTTTTAACCGCAAAATTACTTGGAAAAGTAATCCAATAGATTAAATTTCCCTTTCTGAGAAGTGTCACCCAACGGTAAGTCTGTACTGACGTCACCAGACAGATGACACAGTTACTTCGATGTGGCTACTTGGTCAGGGGAGACCGTTCAGATACTTTAAAAAGCATTGCATGATGAGAGATAAAAAAAATAACAAACTTCCAGACCTTGTTATTCTTTCCTTTTGCAGCTCTGGCATTTTTTATATTATTACATTATCACGGAGGTACAAGGGAGGTTTGTGGTGCCTGACAAAGCTAGAGCAGATCACACAGAGCTGGCTGGTTGTACTTTGTATTATTGCAGAACAATACCTAGCTACCTGCAATTATTAATCTTTTCCTCTCCCACCTGCAGGCATCCCAGGCTCTCTCTTACCCTCATCTGAATCACTTCACATGGGGATATAGGAGGACTGGTAACAGAAATCAGTTAAAGGTGAGAGGCAGAGAAGAAAAAAAGCACCTCACTGACACATCACTGTAAACAAAGGTTAATCCACCTGCCCCTCTTTTGCAGGTCACTTTTAAAGTAGAGGGATTTTACCAACCAGCCATTTCCATTTACCTTTATCTTCTTTTTCCCATCTCGTTTCTTCTTAAACCTCTTTAACAAAGTTCACAGATGATTTCAGGAGCCAGAGACATGTCTTCATGTTGGTATTTCATAGCCATCAGTAGAATTGTTTTCCATTAACTCATTTGGTTGCTTCTGAACTCAGAAAGTTCACAGCTGTAGAAAGGAATAAAAATTATATAGTTAATATTATTATTTTTTAAAACAGTAGTAGTTGCAGACAGACTTTTCTCTCCAGCTGGCTGCCTGAAACAGCCCAGTTCCATTTCATCAGGAGATCTTCAAGCTCAGCTGAAAGGGTCATTGAACAAGTTGTTGGCTACCTCAGAGGCAGACTTGCTCTTCTAAGGTTGCTGTGTCTAAGTTACATTTATTTCTCACAGGTCCACTGTTGAATTCAAGTAAAATAAGACAAAATGTGTAAAGAGGAGAACCAGGCTCACCGTGCTGAACAGATGTGGCAGCCCTCATTTTGGACAACCTGCTGGTGAGGAGGCAGAGTCCCCAGAAGTTCACACATGGCTCTGCAAATCAGCTCTAACAGGGACCCAGTAACCCAGGGGTGACAAGGGAGGGAGCCCCAAAACTGCTGTGCCTGCACCGAGGTCCCAGACATTCCTGGCAAAGCACCCCTTGAATTGATGGTCTTTGGATTAGGCTGATTTGAGAAACAGCTGGAAAGGTGAGTGTCTTTAATTAAGTGGACAATAATTTATGAACTGCATTGGATGCCTCAATGTAAAAAATAAACTGTTTATTAATAATGGTTTTAAGGCTCAGTTCCTGTTTTTAGCAAAATAAATTCAAGTAAGCAATCCCAGCTGAACTTCTGGAGGGAGGGAGTTTACAACAAAAATTAAACAAGTTAAAAAAAACAAAACAAAACAAGAACTACACAGCAGTTACTTGTGTTCGTTTGCCACCTATAAGCTTTTAGGAGGAACCTCATGCAACTCAGCTTATACACTTTCGTGAACAACTACCAACAAGCAGCCCAAAAAGCTCTCTTTTCTTATTTTCTTGACATTGTAGATATATTTTACACACACACACACACACACACTTATTACTGATGCAAGGCTTCTTGGTACTGTTCTCCAACAAAGAATTTGGCAGCTGAAATGTACCCGGCTTGTTCTGCCTAACTCTCCCAAACACACCACACCAGACAGAAAGACCAGCAATTACATTCCATTTTGTTGCTGAAGAAGGATCAGTTCCCTGTGATATTTCAAATTCCTTCCTTAACCAGGGGTAGATGATTTAGTGCCAGGCATTCAGGGGGATTTAGGTTTGCAAAGAAGCAGATAGAAAATGTATAGGAATTTCTTTAATGCCAGGTGCCAAGGGAAGCTGGACATCTGGGGAGAATTTTGAGATTTGCTCTGTGTGCTTCTTTCTCTCCTAATTCACCTCAACAGATTTAGTTCTCTCTGCCCCAGCTCTTCCTTTTCAGAAAAATGGCAAAAGCAGTCATTTCCTCCCTTATCAGGAAAGATCAGGAGAGCAAGGTGCTCCGACAAATAAGTCAGCCGAAAAAAGGAGACAGAGGAAGGAAAAGTTCAACATATTGCTTCTCCCCTTTACCATCATGAATGATTTATAAAATACTTGCTGGCAGAAACGTATGAAGAGAACATCAAAAATTCCCCTCACATTAGGCTATGCTACCTAGAGCCTGTATGGCATCATAGCTTCCTGTACATTGCCTTTCTTTTTACATTTAACAACAAATGTTGGTGCAGACTTGGAGCAGAGCTTCAGAACCAACAGTGGTATTCAGCTCTAACCCCTTTTCTCAGCAATGATATATCAAGCAGTTGGTTATGAGGGTCTATGAAACCACCGAGCTGGAAAACAGCTCCTATGTGTTCCCTGCCACACAACATGCCTGGCATCTAGCACAAACACATTGTTTTTTAATCAGTCTTCATTACAGGACCATTACAGTCCAAATATCCATGTTCTGGGATCATGGAAACATTACATTATATCATGATTCTGACTCGTTTGCATTTTGGACTTACAGAAGTCCCTGCCCCAAACCAGTGGTCTCTGGTCACCATCCCATCTGATGCCAGAAACCTTTCTCTGCCCTCAAGCTTCTTTTCCTTCTGTCTTTTAAAATTGTTAGTAAAGAAAATACTGGAAATGCATCTTCCAGGGCAGTTGCACAATATTTAATAGAAATACCATCTTTGTATAGACAAAAAAAAAAAAAAAAAAAAAAAAAGGGAAGAAGAAAAGAGCAAAAAGCTGGCATGCGTTTCTGAAGGTGAAGTTAGGAAAGTATTTAACCACAAGCCAATTCACAAGAAACAGAGGCTGCTAAGCCTTGTTTCCTTTGGCTCCCTGGCTCAGGGTTGGGCTAACCTCTGGACAGTAAAAATCAAATCCAAGCATCTCCTACAGAGGAAATATTCTCTCCTATGAGTATTCAGTGTGGTTTGAGATTTCCTTGAGATTACAGGCCCTTTTTTCCCCCCCCTCTTGTGGCAGGGGGATGTGTGAATTTCATCTCTCCTTTCCTCCACTGCTTATCTTAATATTGCTGACATATCTAACTGTCAAATTTGTACGAAACTTGGCAATGTGTTCAGATGTAGAATGTGACCAACCGTCTGATGGCAGAAATCTTCTCTTTAGGAAACCTTAAAGAATAAAAGCCCTCTTTAACTATATAATAAGTAGTTTGACATGTCTACTTTAGCTGTGTTGGCTCTACTGGTGATTCACGGGAAGTTACTGAAACAAGTTCACAAAAAATGATGCACAACATGGGAACTGGTTGCCAGTACTAGGGGGAATAGGTAGAATATTAAATGACAGTCACCTATCAGGCTAGTAAGCACAGAGCTTGGCATTCTTGTAGGAAATACCATCAATCTCTGATACAAGACAAGGGACCACAGAAGACCTTTCCTTGTAGCTATAGCACATGCAAAGCAGCAAAGACATTCTCTGCACCTGAATAACGTGTTTCTGAGTAACATTTCCAAGTGAACAACCATCAAGAAGTCCAGACATTGTCCACTTTCTCCCCAGGATACATCCTGCGGGGGTTTCCTACAGGTCATTATTATGTTATCTGCTGAGCCATAAGACAATAAGCCAAGCCAGAGAAATGCTGCCTAGTGAAATGTGACGTGAGTGGAAGATGCATCAATTTGCTACTTAAATAAATAATTGTTTAAATATTTAAACAAAACTTTTGGTTTAAGAGGAAAAGCTCTGTGAGAGAGAGATGAAAGCTGACATTTTCTGGACCGACAACAGATATAACTACTGATCCAAAAAAACTTGAATGCGGGAATCACTGCCAGGTTCCTGTTTGGGTGGATAATGAATGGCTAAAGTAGTTAAGTGAAAAGAGATGTTACGCGATGCTAATTTCAAAGCTCCCAAAGAACATAATTTGACTTCTTTGATCAAGTGAAGAAAGAAGAAATCCCCACCTTGGCTCTCCCCACAGCAGAGTGGTTGTCTTGGCAAAACTGAGGAGAGATGGCTAGGCTTGCTCCAACTGGTGCC